TCCACCACTGGTTCCTAGTGGGGAGATTTCCTCTCTTTTTCTGTCCCCATGATACAAAGGACAGTGCTGTGAGTTGAATATTGTTCTTACCTTATTTTGAGCGCACTCTTTATATATTCCTATAAAGAATCTACTGCTGGGTGGTAAAAGCATTACTTGAGAACCATTTAACAAAATAAAGGGCCATGTTAACACACTTGTATTCTGATTAAAACCTTGTTCTTTGTGTGAACTCAAGCTTAGAATAACAAACAGATTAAATACTGCATTAAGAATAAAACAAATTAACTTCCGATATATATATATTTTAAAATAAACAGTCCTATTATTTCTATAACGTTAATTTACAAAATTGAAAACCAATAGCAGACTTTATAACCATCTTGCATGGAAATAGTTTTGGAAATCAAGATTTAACATTGAGGAAAAATGACTTTCTAATAAGAAAATTATTTACTTTTAGTGATACAATATGCAATCATGATAAACAAAATACCGCTTCACAATTATTTTATAATTGATTTATAAATATATATATATATATATATATTTATGTTTTAATCTCCCCTTCTGATTATTTATTGATTTTCTACAGTATACTTTTATTTTACTGTAGTGTCTTTTCTCTCTCTCAGGTCTCCTTCTCAGGTCAAGGGTTAGAACAACATATGAAGTACTGACTAAAGATTAGAATCACAAATTGCTATTTTGTAGGTATATATCCATAGCCCTTATACCTTAACATACAAGGTTTCATTAAGTCCTGGATGATGTTTTGAATTACTAATCCATTTAGTTTCTAATTGTAGTAATTTTTGATCCCTATTGTCCCCACGTATGTCCTCTTTTATATGTTTGAGGACACAAAAAGTAAGTACAGTAAGTAAGTTCTTTCTTTCTTTTTCAATATATCACTATTTTAAGCTACTTAAAGTATATTGCAGTATATTTTCTAATATGACTTTACCCTGAAGCATCTTATGTTTTAACAGATGTTATGGCTTGTTCACATTTAATTTCATATTTAGAGTTTTCATCTTAAAACATTACATTCTATTTTATTTTTTTCTGTTTGCTTAGTTTACATACACAAAATGACTGCTCCTAAACATTCTATGAAAGATTGGCTGCTGTTCCTCATTTTAACCCCTGGATGGCACTGTTTACCATAAGTAAACTGAACTAGCTTAATGTGGAGCTCTACTGTTTCTTACAGAATATTTTAGCTGCAAATACTGGTAACATTACATTCTCTTCACTTTCTCCTTCATGCAAGAATAAAGAACAAAACAGGAAGAAGATGTATGGACTCATGCACAAGACAATGAAATGGCAAGTGACATTTTTGTTTTCTCTTTATACTTCTGGTCTTATTTCTGCTCAGCTTCAGTACTCGGTCAAGGAGGAGCTGAAACAAGGATCTGTAGTAGGAAATATTGTAAGGGATCTGAGCTTAAATGTCAAAGATTTATCTATCAGAAAATTTCAAATTGTTTCACGTCCCAAAAAAATTTACTTTAATATTAGTGTACAAAATGGAGATCTTTATGTTGCTAATAGCATAGACAGGGAAAGATTATGTGGGTCCCAGCAATTTTGCTCTATAAATGTGGAAGTGGTCATGGAAAACCCACTACAATTTTATACCATTATTGTTGAAATACTAGATGTAAATGACAATTCCCCAACCTTTTCCAAGAGTACTTTTGATGTAGGAATCAGCGAATCTACTGCACCTGGAACTCGATTTGCTCTTAACCCTGCAAAAGATCCAGATCTTGGTTCCAATTCCTTACAGGGTTATAAGCTAAGTGACAATATTTGTTTTATCCTCAATGAAAAAATAAGTATCAATGGGAAAACACATCCAGAACTAGTGCTGGACAAACCCCTTGATCGCGAGAAACAAAATTACTTTGAACTAACATTAACTGCTTTTGATGGAGGAAAACCTGTAAAGAGTGGAACAGCTTTAATAAGGATCAAAGTTCACGATGTTAATGATAATTACCCATTATTCGATAAAGATATATATCAGGTATTCTTACCAGAAAATACTCCACTTGGTTTTCTAATACTTCAGCTGAATGCTACGGATAGTGATGAAGGGTCATATGCACAAATATCATATTCCCTTAATGATGTCCCTGAAAATGCTTGCCAACTATTTGCAATAGACTCTTCAAAAGGTGATATTAAATTAATAGAAAACTTAGACTATGAGATGAAAGACAAGTATGAGCTCACCGTGGAAGCTAAAGATGGAGGAGACCTAAGTGCTCTCTGTAAGGTGTTCATACAAATTATAGATGTTAATGATAATGCCCCAGATATAACAATTACTTCTCTAACGGAATCAATTCCTGAAGATTCACCAGCTGGTATGGTTATAGCTCTTGTTAATATCTATGATATGGACACTGGAGAAAATGGAGAAGTTGTTTGTGATATTGATGGAAAACTACCCTTTCAACTGGTTTTATCATCTAGTGGTTATTACAAACTTGTGACTTCAGCTAACTTGGACCGAGAAAGAGTCAGCAATTATAACATCACCATCAAAGCTGTGGACAGAGGATCTCCATCATTGTCAGACTTTAAAACAATAAAATTGTCTATCTCTGATGTGAATGACAATTCTCCTGTATTTGATAAAACAAACTATGTTATCTATACTCAAGAAAATAATCTATCTGGGACTTCTGTATATCAGATACATGCAGCAGATCTTGATTATGAAGAGAATTCAAGAGTAATGTATTCATTACTTAACAATGGTTCTATGGATAAGCCTATATCCTCATATATTTCTATAAACTCAATGACTGGGGTGATTTATGCTCAGCGACCATTTGACTATGAACAGTTACGAGAGCTTCAGTTCCAAGTGATGGCTAAGGACAGTGGATCTCCTCCTCTAAGCAGTAATGTCACAGTGAGGTTATGTATCATTGATAAGAATGACAATGCTCCTAAGATTCTCTACCCATCATCAGACAATGAAGGATCAGCATTATTTGAATTTATTCCTCACTTTGCTGAAAAAGGTTATTTAGTGACCAAAGTGATTGCAGTTGATTCTGACTCTGGACACAATGCCTGGCTCTCATACCACTTACTCCAAGTTCCTGATCCATCGATACTTAACATTGGCCAATACACTGGTGAAATTAGATTAGGCCGAGACATACCTGACATGGCTTCTTTTAGACAAAAAATTGTGGTTCTGGTGAAGGACAATGGATCACCATCGCTGTCATCGACAGTTACTTTAATCTTGGTTGTGGCTGAAAACTTTCACCTTGCTGTTCCAGAGATTAAGCATCAACCCAGCATTTCTGAAGCTTCATCTAATGTTACTTTGTACCTTGTAATAGCAATTGCCCTCATTTCTTTGTTATTCATTGTCACAGCAATGATTACAGCAATATATAAATGCAGAAAAACAAGTATTCCTCCAACTTCTGGAATGTTTAGTGGAAACATATATCCACAGTTCACCTTGGGATGTCCATCTGAAATTAGTGATAGAAGTTTACCTTTTCCATTCTCTTATGACGTATGTGTGACTCTAGACTCAAAGCACAATGAAATTGCTTCCCTGAAACCAGTCCAGAATGTTCCCACCGACAGTCTGATTGACACAGATGATGTCCCTACTAACAGCGGCTTGCCTTCTACCATTAACATACAGGTAAGTGAAAATATACCAATTTTTTATTAAAATATGTGTGATCTGTGTACAATTACAATTTAGATAGAAACCATCACTGAGTGAAGTGGATACATTTAATGTAAAATTTTTTCTTGTTATTGATAATGTTTATACCAAAATATTATTTTATTGCATGCCTATTCAATATTAATTTTTAAAGATTATTAATTAGGTAGTAATGACTAACAGTGTTTAGCTGTATGTATTAAGTAAGACATGGGCTCTTTATCTGCCAAAATATAACCTTTCCTCTTAGCCAAACAACATATAGGTGAATGACAGAGATAGTATACTTTTGTTATTTATTTATTTGTTATTTTACTATGAGAAATATTGCTATCATGCTCCATACATGGATTTTGCCTGTCAGTTTATTTTTTTTTATAATTGCACAATCTTATTTTCAACATATTTACATAGTTTACAAACATATTTGCAGTAAACTAAAATTTTATTGGCATAAGCTGTAAACTTTTACCTTTCCTGCATTTTGTGATTTCAACCTTTAGATGTCACTGTAGACCACAAGTAAATTTGTGCAAACAAAATGTATAGTAGAGCTATTCCAAACCCTACTACAATTTTGCAGTGCACATCGGAGCAACATTGTAGTCTATATACACAATCTCATACAATTTATTGTATCATAATTACAATAACCAGAGAACTGCAAACTATTTGTAATTCGCTCTGAATAAGAAGAGTTAAGAAGAGGTGCTGACTCATCAACAATACAATGGAATGGCAAGTGATATTTTCTCTGATTCTTATTTTGTGTAATTTTGTATATGCTCAGCTTCAGTATTCCATATATGAAGAACTAAAACAAGGATCTATAGTAGGAAATATTGCAAGGGACCTGAGCTTGAGCATTAAGGACTTATCAAATCATAAGTTGCAGATTGTGTCACGTGCCAGGAAACAGTATTTTAATGTTAATTTGCAGAGCGGAGATCTGTACATTATAGAAAGAATAGACAGAGAGAATTTGTGTGGGGACCAGCAGGCATGTTCTTTAGGTGTTGAAGTAATAATTGAAAACCCATTACATTTTTACACAATTAAAGTTGACATACAAGATATGAATGATAATCCACCGCAATTCTCCAAGAACATATTTGATTTAGAAATGAGTGAGCTTGTTTTACCTGGAACAAGATTTGCTCTTGGGACGGCAAAAGATCCAGATCTTGGTGTTAACTCATTGCAAGGTTATAGGCTTAGTGAGAATCACTTTTTTAAGCTTGGAGAAAAAATAACTTCTGCTGGGAGAAAGTATCCTGAACTTGTGCTGGACAAACCCGTTGATCGCGAGAAGCAAAACTGTTTTGAATTAATCCTAACAGCCTTTGATGGTGGAAAACCTGGAAAAAGTGGGACAGCCTTAATAAAAATGAAAGTTCATGATATAAATGATAATTTTCCCCAATTTAGCCAAGACAGTTATCAGGTACATCTGCCAGAAGATGCAACAAGTGGTTTCTTAATTGTTCAGCTAAATGCTACTGATGTGGATGAAGGAATATATGCACAAATAACTTATACGCCTTTTGAAGTTCCTGAAGATGCACAGAGCCTGTTTGACATTGATCCCTTAAAAGGTGATGTTATATTAATTGGAAAGTTGGACTATGAAGTAAAAGATACATATGAGTTTACAGTGGAAGCTAAAGATGGAGGAGGCCTGACTGCTCATTGTAAAGTGTTTATACAAGTTACTGATGTTAATGATAACATCCCAGAAGTAATCATGACATCTCTCTTGACATCAGTTCCTGAGGATTCACCACTTGGAACTGTTATAGCTCTCATCAATATCTTTGACATGGACACAGGAGAAAATGGCAAAGTGCATTGTGAGATTATTGATAAGTCTCCTTTTCAATTAGTTCCTTCAACTGCTAATTATTACAAATTTGTGACTTCAGCTAACTTGGATCGGGAAGGAGTCAGTAACTATACCATCACCATTAAAGCTGTGGATAAAGGATCACCCCCACTGTCAGTCACCAAAACTCTAAAACTGTCTATCTCAGATGTGAATGACAATTCTCCTGTGTTTGAGAAAACAAATTATATTCTCTATATTCAAGAAAATAATTTACCTGGGACCTCTGTATACAGGATTTCTGCTTCTGATCTTGACTATGAAGAGAATGCAAACATTATTTATTCTATGTTAACCAATAATACTGAAGATTTGCCAGTTTCCACTTATATTTCTATAAACTCAATGACTGGGGTTCTTTATGCTCAGAGATCATTTGACTATGAGCAGTTACGCGAGTTTCAGTTCCAAGTGATGGCTAAAGACAGTGGATCTCCTCCTCTAAGCAGTAATGTAATGGTGAGGATATGTATTATTGACAAGAATGATAATGCTCCTAAAATACTCTACCCATCATCAGACAATGAGGGATCAGCTTTATTTGAATTTATTCCTCACTCAGCTGAGAAAGGTTATCTAGTGACCAAAGTGATTGCAGTAGATGCTGACTCTGGACACGATGCTTGGCTTTCATATCACTTACTACAACTTCAAGATCCTTCTTTATTTACAATCGGTCAATATACTGGTGAAATTAGGCTTGGAAAGGAACTTACAGACATGGATTCTTTAAGGCATACAATTATAGTCATGGTAAAAGACAATGGACATCCATCTTTATCATCTACAGTTTCTTTAACTCTAGTTGTTGCAGAAAACTTTCAGCAAGTTCATCCAGAGATAACATACAAGCCTAATGATTCAAAAGCATCTTCTAATACCACATTCTACCTAATAGTTTCCATAGCATTGATTTGCCTTTTTTTTATTGTGACAGTGGTTGTAACGGTATTCTTTAAATGCAGAAAATCAAATACACAACCATCTTTTGGAGCTATTGGTGGAAATGTATATCCTCAGTTTACTTTGGGATGTCCTTCTGAGATCAGTGATGCAAGTTTACCTTTCCCATTCTCATATGATGTGTGTGTCACACTGGACTCAAGACAGAATGAAATTGCTTATCTGAAACCTGCCCAGAATGTCCCCATAGGCAGTCTTATTGACACTGATGCCTCACCTATTGCTAATGATCCTGCAAATGATTGCTTACTTAATACCAGTATCGCAAAGGTATGTAATACTTCATTTTAATGCATAGTTTCAAATGGCAATAGTGTTTTTAATTAAATGCACTTAATTTACTTCTGAAAATTGGTTTACAAATATGCATGATTTCATAGTCAACTAGATGTTGTGTTGAGAGATTGTGGAATTTTTATAATTCTGACTGCAATAATTTCCTAGATTAAGACAAACATACTTTGTACATCTCTCAGGGAATATACAATAAATATGCAAAATGAAGTGTAAACAAAAATAGTATATTTCAAATGTTTTATGATATACATTTAAACGCGATAAAACAGTATCAATTTAAATACTGATATTTTATCAGTATGTTTTTTCCCCCCATCAAATCTTGTTTCTATAGTGTGATATTAGATTTAGGAAGTAGTATGATTTCACAGATATTCAGGGTTATTCACAAAAGGGCGAAGAGTTTGGAGAAGACAGGAGAAGTGAACAATCTAGGCCAAAATAGCTGATTTGGAAAAAATCTCCAATTCAGCTCACTTTCCTGTTCAGCTATGTTGTCCTAGATTCTCCTATGTTGTCATAGATTGTTCCTAGATTGTTCACTTCTCCTGCCTTCTCCAAACTCTTCACCCTTTTGTGATTAACCCTGATTGTCTTAATTCAGTGAGTCTTCAGTGGGGCAGCTTTGAGGCCTAGAGATTGTAGGAACAATCCCAGCTGCTAACAAACCTCGACAAGTCGTGTAGGCTTGTGGTCACTGTCACCACACTTGGGGGGTGCAAGTCATCAAAGGCACTTTTTAGACAATGCTACTGCTGTGCACTAGACTGTCTATAATAGATTTTCAGTTTCTAGAAGATCAGAGAGATTATGTGTAATTTCTAATGATGATTGTTATGTATGGTTGCCTCCCAGAGAAGTTAGCTGATAAACTGCAAGTTTTGGCAAGATAACTTAACTCATGTGTTTGGTGCATGGGGGTGTTTCGGCAGTGGGAATAGTGTCAATGCAAATATTCTAGCTCGCAGGATAGCTTGCAGTATCTCAGAAGTATCGGTAATCACTTGCCTGCTCCACAGCCCCTGGAGACTGTATGCCAAATTAGTATCTGCATGTGTGTGTCCAGCCAGCTAAATTTAGACGTCTCCTTCCAGTGGTGACCAGTGGTATTGCAGGCTGTGAATACTGTGCCAAAGTGCTGTTTTATCTGTCTTGATTTGTTTTAGTTTTAATCTTAATTTGTTTGTAAGCTCTTAAGTTATCTGTAAGCTCTCTTTCCACTCTCCACCAAACAAGGTTCTGGCTTTGGTTAGACATGGATGTGATTACTTGTCATCTGGGGGGAACAGTGAGATGTTAGTGTGTGTGTTGTTACCTGTGTCTGGATTGGGGAACTTGGGTCTCTCATGACAATCTGCCAGCATGCGGGGTTATTTCTGATGGCATGTGATGGGCAGTCATACCTTGCACATCGCCCGGTTTCCCTCTTCTCTGTACTCTCTGTACTCCTGTCTGTGACCTATAGTTTAAAGAGTTATTGCTTTCTCTTGTCTTGGCACTCACTTTATGTTTAACATTTTGAGGCTGATTAACTAAAGAGGTTTAAAATCTTCACTCAAAAATATGTGAGAATATTCACATCAATTATCAAATCATGTGAAAAGTAAATTCCTCTTCACTTTGAATACCTAATCATTTACTGTATATATGATTGTCACATGACTGGATAGCTGAAGTAAACATTCACACAAAGTTTTTTAAAGTGAACTCCTTTAGTAAACCACCCCTTCTATCCCAGCACTTGTTGAGCAGGGAGATTGTTGTTTATGTATACAGTATGTAATACATTAATGCAAAATATGGCACCACAAATATGTAAAATGTAAAGGTTACATTTAAAAGTAAGAGCTGGTACATTATAATATCAGCTCAACATATTCTCAGTGAGAGAACACTATAGTGTTCTCTTAGCTGCACACTAAAAAGTATTTGTATTATCACTAAATGTGCTGGCCAGTGGAAACCTCTGTTTACTTTGTGAAATAATAAATAATGCTTATGTTTTTCCTCAGATAGTTTTTTTTTATATATTTAAAAACGGAAAAATATGTATTGCATTATATGGTGGGAACATAGTAGTTAATAAAAACTTTCCTTCCTGCTAAAATTTTTTTTGAATTAAACATTTTGATGTTTTTGTTATTTCTCATTGGACTCATTTATGGACTAACAAAATTAATATTTATAGTAATAGTCATTGAATTTCAAAGTATACACCGCTCAATTCCCAAAGTTGGACAACACTGACCCAACCAGTCACATCAATCTGATGCAGGCTCCAAACATACGTGCTGGCGTAACAAAATCCTGAAATTCCAATGTAGAACCGCACATCTGACCATTCAAAAAAAACAAGATCAGATTTATTGAAAGTTCATACCATCCAAGTACATAGTAAAATCATCCCACAACGATCCTATAGTCTCTCATGTGTTCCACCAGGTAGGCTTAATCATATGATTAAGCCTATCTAGTAGAAAACATGATAGGCTATAGGATTGGTATGGGATTATTTTACTGTGTATTTGGATGGTATGAACTTTCAATAAGCCAGATTTTTTTTATGAACCTTTGGATGTGCAGCTCTACGTTGGAATTTCAGGATTTATACTAATAGATTGCACCATTTGCAGTGCAGAGTCACTAAAATCACCATGCAACTACTTATCTGCTGTGTATCTATTGACTTGTAGATAAATGTGGGCCATGTCCAGGTCTACTTGACAGTGGGAGAGTGGCCCAGCTCTATTATAAATGGACTGCTTATAGTCCCATGGGGGCCCTCAAACAGCTGCACAGTTTCCACAAATGGCATGTCTGCCAAAAACTGAATGGACTTTTTTCATCTTTATTCATGATAATAATAATAAAAATAGATGAACATTACCCCTTCAATTTCAATTTTGCTCCATGGTATAGTTATTTAGTACAGTGCATTTGTGATAGAAAAGACTTAATGGATAGATGTTATAGTAATAATAGCACAAAACTAACAAGATATGTAGTGCAATATGGTGGTTGCTAGCTGAAGGATCCTAACCTCTCCATTTCCCTTAATGTAATTAGAATGTATGTATATCCCTATTTGTAAATAAACCCAACACTTATTTAAGATGGCTACCCTTAATTATTTTAAGGGTTTTTGTTCTATGTTCTGTGTTTTTATGTATGTATGCTTATGATCAGCATGTATTTTGCCCATTTAAAAGAATGGACCATATAACACACTTGACAGTTTTGTTAAATTGAAAATGTGAATAGTGAAATGTTAGATTTGGGTGAAATTATCTTTTACAGATAGTAGATAATTTTGTTGTTGTGTGCATTAATATATGAGTGTATAGAGAGGGGACAGTATAACCATACAGGTTATGATAAGGAGGGACAAAAGCAATCAAAAAGCACACACTCTAATTAGAGCACAGCACAGTAAAGCCTTCTCAAAACAGAAGGTATAAACATGTCTCATTCTATCACATATCCCAAATATAATAGTATTATTTCTCATTTCGAGATAGTGGACAGGGCCATGCAAATCATCGCTTTACACCCCATCGAATAGATGATGTAGTGCACATATAGCCTAATATACAGCCATTTATTCCAAGCTGCATACAGTTGTTTTAGGCTTTTAACCTATCACCTGTGCAGTGTATGGAAGATGGCCAAAAAGACTAAAATAACTTTATTCAGTTTGGAATAAAGCAATGATTTGTAATTTTTTTTTTTACCAGGTCTTTAGAAATAATTCTCTTATTTTTGAGATATACGATGGGATGAGACATGAATACCTTTTGTTTTGAAAAGGCTTTATTGTGCTGAATGTAAATATACATACATATCTGAATATATGAGTTCTTTTTGAAAAAATAGCCTAAAGTTAGCCATAGACCTAGATTTCTTTCATTGAGCCATAGGGGTTGATAAATTATCTGATTTCTTAAGCTTCAGCTTAATATTTAAAAATGTACTTTGTAATCATACTATATATCGCAGTGAAAAAACAATCACAAAATGTAATCTTATTTGAAGTCTTAAACTGTGATCACTGCTGAAATAGTGCACATTCATCAGAAATCATTTGGATAGTTAGGACTTTTTGGAAGCACCTAAAAGAATAATAAATGAGGAAAACATGCAATGCCATGGCATGACAAGTCTTGTATTTTTCTTCGTCCCTTTGTTTTGTGAGGTACCGTATGTTGGATCAGCTTCTTTCTTTAATTTATATGAAACAATTAAGCTGTGTACTAATCTTGGGAATATTAAAAATGATTTGCATTATTACATAAAAAAAGTTGTAGAAAAAATTGCAGTCACATGCTATGCTCTTTTCTTGGCATATGTAGTGATCAATCCCTTCTTGTAATTATTATCATTTTTTTGCTGTAATGGAGGTGGTTACCCTCTGATCATCATCATAACTATTCACTAGCTATGACTGTAATTACTGTCTAGCTGTAGTTGTTGTTGCCACCTATTGTAGTAATGGCCCCTAATTGGATATGGTCATGGTCACTCGCTGGCTATAGAAATAGTAATTCATTGAGTGCGCCTACATATGAAAACGACGAACGCACTACACATGTTGGGTATTGCCGCACATGCCGGAATGAGAGCAATAATTCTAGGGCCAGTATTTTTGGGTATCTCTAAATTGATGACCTGTGAGGGCTTTTAAAGTGTCGTCTATGGACTTTTTGAGGTACTGAAGTTTGTCGCTGTTTCACGGATGCACACAATTTCTAACCTGGGCATGTTGGGTATTTATTTACTCATTGTAACCTCATCTTTTATATTTTATTTAAAAATGGGTATTTTATTGTGTTTTGAGATTTAAGTACATTTTTCACAAAATATTGTGGTTTGATAAGGAGCTGCGCTCATATAGTGCAACATAAAAATTTGCAACTGCCACCATGTTATTCTATAGGATCTTGGCTTTCAGAAAATATATAATATTTGGGGTTTTT